TTTTGGTAGATCTCTCGAAAGACTACTAACTATTTCGTGGCACCTGTCACTCGGGAGGGTGAGTTTCGCCGGGCATTAGCGGGATAAGATGACAGGCCGATAAGTCGCGCGCAGACGTAAAGATAGAGGAAAGCAGGTGAAAACCCGAATAGTCTCGGATGAAAGTGTCCCGCGAGGACACATTTATATAAATCGATCGCTATTAATATATTTAGTACGCGCGTTGTACGTTTTTAATTCGCGTTAATATTTCTTGGCATAATTTATCGCGAGTATCCGTCAAGTCGAGGTACATCGATTGAAGCATTTCCAGTGAGCAAAACAAGAATTTAAAAATCATTGTAAAAAGCAAAAGTGAAACCTGTCTGTCTCTATGATTATTTTTTAACAACATAAACGTAATAGGACTGTTTTCGGACGTCCGCCGCCTTCGTTGTCGGAAGCACCTGCTGCTCCTCCGCGACGAAAAATTTTTCGACGAACTCCGGGTTTAATACCCAGCGATTTTTTAAGCAGTGGCAAAAGGATTCGCCATATGGCGCCTTGATCGAATGGACTCGCGCCGCCGCGAGAATCGAGCAGTCGTGTCTCGAGAGCCAACGGTGCTTCGAGGAACGAGGGCCCATTTATTTGGCGTGTGCTGTATAATTAGGACTCGAGAGCTGGCCACACGGGTGAGCTTATTGTCCGTTCTTTTTTTCCCCCCGATCGGTGGAAAACGAGTTTTGGAAATATATTACGGGGCGCCGTGTGGTCGGCCGAATTCGAGCCGCGCTCCTCCGATACTTCCGCAAATACCTGGCTCGCTAGGAGAGACGGGGAAAGACGATTTCTTTTATCGACAAGAAGGGAGATAGAAAGCCTGAAGATTCTCATATCTTTTGTGTTTGAAATAAGATAAACGATAAATGACATCGAGTGTCCGCGGCGGCAATATCGGAAGTGAGCTGACGACTCTTTCCTGGTCTCGACACATATTGTCGAGAATAACTGGTTTCCATAAAATGGTGAACCATTTAAATATAGATTGTTTTCCCAGAGTTTACGGGATGTAGAAAAAAAAAATAAGCAAGACGTGTGCTAGAGGCTACGACGTTCGTAAAATCGACGCGACTCAATATACTTATTGTTAGATTAATTTTTGCTAATTACATAATTTCGTCTTTCTATTTATAAGATTGCATTTTCGATAATATTGTATATTTACAGGATTAAATAACTTTACATGATTATAGTACGATCGCATATGTGCTCTTTACTGAAATCGGCGTATAACAGCA